GTTAGCATCTTGAAAAGGAAATTTTTTTCACTACCCACTCCTGTTCCTGTGTGCTTAAGCTATACTTGGCATACTTCAATGGCTTTTTTTTTTTTTTTATTCCTCTCTCCGTTTTCTTGTACGTAGCTCTAACAATGCTTTTTTGTTTGCTTCCTTGTGCATAAATCAGCTCATCACTAAAGCCTTTCCAGGTCTAAGCGAACTAAAACAGTGCTAGAAGATTCAGAGTGAGAAGGAGGAAGAGCAGAGCACAAACATTTGAGTGCATTTCTAAACAGCAACTAGACTAGATGAACATACAACAGTGAAATTCATATGCAACTCTCAGGTGCTTCAGTATCCCCTTCTATCGCCCAATTAGTCAGAAGGAGGTAGAGAAAAATAAGCTGAAGATCAGATGAAGCTTTATGTACAACTGATGATTTTTTTAAAAAAGTATATACAATTCATGTTATTTTCTTTCCCCTGCTTATCATGAGTGTCAGGTTGAAAAATCTGTTTTACTTCTGTTAACTCACATGTCAGAAAACTTGGTCATATCATCTCCACTTTTGTAACTTCTGTGCATCTTCATTACGGCAAAATACTGGCATAGAATAATTCCTGGAAAACACTAACACTTTCCCTTTAAAACTTCCTGAAGAATTCAAGTTGTTCTTTGTATCTCCAGCTTACTAATGTTAAGCAAATTTAAGCAAAGACCATTCCAGCTGGGAAATACTCCTTACTGCTAGTTGTCAGATATTCAGCTATCTGAAAATGTATCAAGACTGCACTTGATAGGATAGCACAAGCAAAAGCGGTATGTAATTACTCTTACTTATTAACGACATCATAATTATAGAGTGGCAAAATAATCAGTCTTTCTAGGACCCACCACTTGTCCTCTACGTCAGTCAGAGCACGGTAATTACATGGCAAACCGCTAAATGCAATTATTCGGCAATATACGTTTAGCGCTCACTGTTACCGTACCTGAAGCCATTTAAAGTCTATACAATACAGCACTCGGCGTTAGCCAAGTGCTTCTAAACACAAAGTAACCTTTATGACAACCTTCTACAGAGGAAAAAGCCTCCCTGTAGAAGAGTAGGGAGAGTAAATGCACACTGGGAGACCGCAGCAGCCGACTCCCTGGTCTAACACAGTGTGCAGTGATGCTTCACCAATCGAACAAAACCATGACTCAGTTCTACGCTGCTGACTTCGTGCCGCCTTCTGTCCAAAGGCTTTCCTGCAAATAAAACTGCAGGTTCTATCAGAGTGACTAAGCTGGCCTAATGTGACAGAACACCATTCAAACCTACTTCAGACAGTGCTGCAATTAACAGCTGAAAACTAGAACCACAAACTCAAAATATCCTGACACCTGTCTGCACTCGCACACAATATACCTTCATTTGAATTCCTGCACCCCAACATAGCAATGAAGACAGGAGATGACTTCAGAAATTCCTCTGTTGACTGCATAGGGATAGTGAAGTCGTCGGTCATTCACAGGTTAATGCCAACTCAATGTTAGGAAAGCAAACCTGAAAATGGAACAGCATTGTTCACTCTGCTGTTCACAGCTCCTGTATAACAGCACGGCCACCAAGGTGTAGGTTACACTACTTCAGGAGTCTGGAGACAGTCTTCTGAGGAAGAGCAGTGAGTCACATGGGTTCTGAATGTTTAAAGTGCTAAGACCATTTTACTAGCCTTGCATGAAGAGCTCTCTCCCAAACTCCCCAGTGCCTTCCCATGCTAAACAGCCCCCAGTGTTCGTAATTCTCCAGCTCCCTATTCCATGACAGATTCTATCTCAGGACTTAACTATTAGGCAAGTCCCAAACCCCCTCTTGCAACCCTAATCTCTAGCAATCAGAAAACACAGCCAGAAGGGACCTCAAGAGGCCATCCAGGCCCTATCCCTACCCCTAGGAAGGATCGTATTTCATTCCTGACAGATATTTGTTTAATCTGTTCCTAAAAGCCTCCAGTGATGGAGATTCCACAACTTCCCAAGGCAATGTATTCCCATGCTCAACTATCTCTGCTGCTGGAACTTTTCCTTAACGTTTAACAGAGACATTTTTCTCTAATTTAAACACACACATTATTTCTTGTCCCATTCAGTACAGACATGGAGAACAGATTATTACCCCACCACCGCCCTACAACCACCTTCTGCCTAACTGAAGACTTGGCTCCTCTCAAGCCCTCTCCAGATTAAGTCCCATTAACTGCAACCTCTGATTTCTCTGTAGGTTCTGACCTCACCCTCATGCAAGCCATGCAAACCGCCCTCAAGCATCTACACATAATTCCTCATAACCCTCTTCAACCAAGCTGTGCCAGGAAGAAAATCCAAGCTTTGTTTTCTTCTCCTTCGCCTTGCTCTTCTGTTTCTGGCTTTAGTTACACTCCAGTTCACATCTAAAGTGCACTTAGCCTACGCACTCCAGAAACCTCAAGGGAGAATTCTCTTTAGCGCTGCTGTGACTGATGCCTGTGACTGCAATGTCACAGAAAGCACGTTCGAGGCAGCCTTTTAGATGGAGCCCTCTGGTACCACACATGCTAGTTTATTGCCTCTTCCTCCAGGACAACTCTTTACCCGACCTGATGACACAGGTCTGGTATTCAGTGCCTGACACCCACAGCCTCCAAAGGTTTCACTCGCTGCTAGATTTGATATCCAAAAGCCATCAGGTAAACCTGAACATCTCGGCTCCAACTGCAGGGCTCTACTGTGTTCAGGAAGGCAGCGTGATTTCCATATAGTCCTAGCTGAACACAGGGTATAGCCTGGAAAAGTGAAACACTTCATTTCAGTGCATAGTTCAGTGGCTGGTTTGATTTTTTTTTCCAATGTTAGAAGTAACAGCTATTATTAGTTTCAATCTCAAGGAGCTTTAGATTCTAACCTCAGCTGGTATCTCTTCAAAGATTTTGTACATTATGGTATTATTTTCAAATTCAGTTACAATCGTAAAACCTCATGTCAGACTGCCCTCTCCTGGTAAGCCAACAGACTGCTGTCACAACAAGATCCACCCCGAGTGCCTATTGCCGTTGTTTCCAAATCCAAACCCGTCATTCCGACACAAAAGCAAACCCCAAAATAAAACACCAAGGAAACCGTTCTGATAACTTCAGTAATGTTTCCAAAGCAGCATAAGCATAACGAACAGCATTTAAGCAGCGGAAGTTTCTTCCGAGTTGCCTTAGGAGTTCTTGTCTTGGGAGAAACTGATGATGTCTGCAGAGAAAAGTAAAACATGCATAAAAATGGAAACTGTTCTGTTTGCTTTTAAGCTTCATAAAAGTAGCCAAGTACTTAGAGTATTTTATTCCACATCAATAACGTTAAAAACAAGGTCACAGAAGAGATCACGTTCAACAGCAAGCTATTTCCTTCAAGCTGGCACAGGTATTTCACTAGCGCTGAAACAGAGCAGTATGAAAAATGAAAGCAACAGCAAATGTTTAAGTAGACCACCTACAGTCATCACTTTTTATTGCGTTGTTCAAACGAGAAAAATGAGAACAGCACGATGACAGGTCAACTACCGAACAACATGCACTGCAGTTAGTACTCGCACACTGAAGACTGGAAATGTCCAGAAGTGAAGTACAGCTTTATTTATGTGATGAATGTTTCGCCCTCCTCAGCCAATTTAATTTTTTTAAAATTCACGTTATATACAACAAAGGTTTAAAAGAGAAGCTGAATCATTAACTCTTTCTAACATAAAATTTAGTCTAACTTACAGGAACTCTACTCCTGCTCGTGCCCAGAGGTAAAGCAAAGTCTTTCCAGAAGATGGTAACAGCTTTCCCGCCTTCTACTCTCCTTCAAGCCAGAAGTGATTTCTTTCATATTTGCAGAGAATCTCCAGGGGGGTTTTAGGATATTTTTGAAATCTGGAAGAAAATTCACGCAGATTTCAAAAGCAATTTATAAGGAATGATCAAGCACATGGGAAACATCAACACTTTATGCCCTTTCAGCCAGAACTGCTTGTTTTACAATATCATGGTTTAACTACTAGAGACAAATTCACATTTTATCTTCTTCAGTTAAACTTCAAAAATATAACACAATCTTCAGCTTGAATATCTTGTTCTTTCAAAACAAGAGCCTAATCAGCAAAATATGGATGGGTACCAGCTCTCAACCATCTAAGAAGTAACTTGTCACTACAGACCATTTTTTGAACTATGAAATTTGTTCCTCTTTACTTAAAACAGCTGAGAGTCACATGTTTGCTGATGTCTCCATTTAGCAACTTCACATGTTGATTGTGCAGTTGAGAGCGGTGCAAGATGGTTGCTAAACACAGCCAGCCTAACAATCCCAACTGAGTTTCAAGGGCAAAAATCCCACACTACAGGTCCCTGTGTGCAGGCACCACAACTGCAAACACTCACCTGAACACAAGGGGATCCCAGGCTGTGATAACACACGTACAAATGCACGCACAAACACTATTTAAACTCTGTATATTGTCTTACTGCTGTATCTTGCACAAAACTCACTAGCCCCTAGGAGCAACCCTTCCAGCTGAGAAAAGTTAGTCTTCACCCTCTTGAAATGACTGAATTGGGTGTTGCAGAGCAAATCAGTCATTTATGACATTAGCAGTGTTTAATTGCTATTGCTCTGTAGACAGCACTAAAGCATGAAAACACGTAAGCAAGGACATAGGCTCCAATAAAGAGGTGACGTCAAATTCAGTTCAACATGGGAGAAAAAATTTTTATCCTCTCGATTACCTGCCATGACTGTCTACCAGACCAGTGCTGAGCCAAGCTAGGTCCTCCACACAGTTCTGACCTTCAAGCATTTTAGGCATAAGACAAGGAAAATCAGCTCCAAGTAATCCAGAAAATTAATAAGGACATAATGAGTAAGGAAATGTAAGTAAGAGAAAAGAAAATAGCACTCCAGAGAGAGAACGTAAGAATCTAATACTGACCTTCACTTCAGAAAATCAGCGGTAGCTGAAGCCTCACTAAATGTTATTTTCAAGAGGTATTTCTACTTCTTCAGTGTGCTTTTGGTTACTTTTGTCCTTCCTACATACAGAATTTGTTATGCTCCTTTTCTGGGTCTGAGACCAAGTGCTTGTTTCTTGAGGTGTGGATACACACGTTCTTCTCCCCCTCCATCTTTTGCAAGGACCATCAGCAAAACAAACAGAGTCGTTGTTCTCCTTCCCTGGTGCTGGCAAGTGGATGAGATTTCGCTCTCTGTGGTGAACATTCTCAGCTTCTGTAAGGACGGACGTGCTTATTGTTCTCCTGATTTTGCGAGCAGAAGCCAGCAGGGGAGGGCTCCTTTCAACCTCACTGGGTACTTGAACCCACGCAAGTCCTTTAATTTCTGCATCTTTATGTAATCTCATGCTGCGCCTCACTCTCTTTTCACGGCTGTTATCGCTCTTTCTTCTCAAAGGCCCTAAGGAGTCACGCTTTAGTTGAGGAGCAGATAAGACTTCTTCCACATTAAAATTGTTTCCAGTTATTTCCAGTTCATCAACAGGAGGAAAACAGATGGCACTGCTCCTTCTCCTTAGTGGGCCACCTCTTCTAGAATCTTTCTGTGGACACTGAGTTCTTTGGGCAGCCTCAGGTACACCAGCATCCTGCTGCTCCAGAAATTCTAGCCCAGTTAGCTGCTCTGCATTACTTAGGAGATTTTCTTGTAATTTCTCATTTTCTATCAAGGAACCACTTTCTTTCACCTCTTTTACACATGCAGCCTCTGTACCTTGTTGGAAATAGTCAGGTGTATCAAACCCACACTTTGTATCTGGCACAATCTTTGAAAACTGAAAAAAAAATAATTTAATTATTATTTTAATATAGGGAAAAGGTAATACACAAAAAAATGGTTTCAAACAGCTGACAACCAAACAACTGCTCCTGTTTTCCTCATCAAATCTAGTCATTCTCAAAAAACCCCAACCAACCAACCCACAGAATCTGCATGTTGGAGTCTGCTCCTCTGTGGAGACAAACTTCTGTTGCTTGTGGCCTTGTCCCGTTGAGTTCTGAACCCTCCTGCCAAGGGTGGAGATTCCATGGCCTCTCCAGGCAGCCTGTTCCAGTGTTGGACCACTCTTTGCTTTTTTTCTTCTCCCAACACATTACTTTTTTGACCCAACACCATCAAGCACAATTCTGCCTTATGTTCTAGGAGCACCCTTAAGCATATCAGTCACCTCATGATCAATGCCTGACTGATCCCCCTCTGACACCTGGAACGCTGTCCCGCCGGAGCTGCTGGCTTCTGCAGCGTCCAGGTCCTCAGGGCTTGAATACACAGCAGCTGCTGTGATGTTCTTCCCTCTCATTCTTTCAACCACTGGCTTCTGTGGAACGTCCTTGCGAGCACTCCCGGATTTGGTATTATCTAAAAATAAGTCTTCTGAATTAGAGTAAACACATGGTTACTTGACTCTACTTGTGAATGTCTGAAATATTTTTTTTTAATATTTTATTATTTATTAATTACAAGAAAAGCTTTAGATAGTATATTACTTACATAAAAGTAACCTTCTAAACAACCATTCCACAGAAATTGTGTAAAAAAACCCAAAAAACCACCACAAAACCACCCAAGAGAAACCACCCTGCACATCACTTAACTATTCATGCCCAACTTATCTGTTTTAAAGACTATGACAGTATCAGTATATAGTTGAAGTAGAGGCTTTTTTTGGTCAGCTTTACACTGCAGTCCAACAAGAGCTAAATTTATCCAGTTGGAGATTATTAATCTATTAGATCCTCTGGATTCTACTATTACAGAAGCAGTGAAGTAAAAAGAAAAAAATGAAGTAAAAAAATGAAGTAAAGCCACCGTATACTGGGCTCTTTACCTATGCACAGAACCCAAGACAACTAACAACAGGTTTTTTTATCTAACTGCTGAAATAAAAAATTAGAAGCAACAGAAAGAGCAAGGCAAAACAAAACTAAAACCCACATTACCTAAAAAAAGGGCATTTGCCTTTGGCAAGTTTGGAGACGAGGCAGAAGAGAAAACCTCTGGAATTTCAGGGATAGGGCTGAGAAGGGGTTTCTTAGAAGCCATCTCTCTCTCTCCATATAATGACTTTTTTACTTTTTTCTTTCTTCTTTTCCCATAGGTTGTACGTTTTGTTTTCTGAGAAGACCGAATAGAGCACAATGTAATTACAATGATCTTGTACATATTTGCCAACAAATAAGTGACACCATTATTGGATTTTGATGGATAACAGCTGCTTCTCTTAAAATGAGGGTTCCACTTGTTCTGCCATCTACAAAATTAATCTAAAAATCCAAAGCAAAGGAGAATTACTTCTCAAACCTGACATCTGATTTGTTTCATTTAACCAAATCCAGAAATCAAAGAAATTAGTCTTTGAGCTCAAAACTACAGATTCTTCATTTATGCTTAGTTTGAAAAGGAATATGTGCTTTCCCTTCCAATACATGAAAGCAAAAACCTTTTAGAAGTCTCACACCTTTACAACACCTCAGTAGTACAAAATTGGGCAAGTTCAAAGAACTACTACTGCATACACTCGGTAAGCGAAGAACCATAAACTCATTTTCTGTCCCTGAAGTCTGGGAAGTGACACCCGCCCCGTCCTCCACCTCCATGAAGTACTCTTTTTGCCCTACAAGCACCCGAACCTGCTAACCAGCCTTACCAAGCAGCAAGAAAGAGGGGTGTGGCACTAAGCGCAGGAAAACAAGACGGGCACGAAAGGGAATAGTGGCAGGAACAGGAAATATAACGCCCTTCAGAAAATCTTTATGACAAAGACCAAAATAATCACGTAAAACACACAAGAAAGAAGAGATGCTTGGATAGAGAAACAAAGGCCCATTCACCCACCGCAGTGGGCTGTCACTTACTTGTGTCTTCTTGGCAGCAGATGTGGTTATATTCTTTTGCCTTTGAAACTTGTTCTTTCTTGGATTTTCAGTCTCTTTCACCTTCTGAGTGTTTGTGGCTCCTGAGATGCTAAAATCAGTCCCCTCTGAAATGGTGCTATGCTGTTGAGGAACATTTTTATGTCGCTGGGGTGCATGTGGTGTACCCGCACACACATACACCTGCTTTTGTTACAAAAGACACCCCAGTCCAACAGTCACAAGAATCCCATTGCAATTTCATATATGAGGTCATAAGAGCTGGACACTCGCAACTGGAAATTGAGATTTATAGACCTCATCTCTCCACACAGAACAATACAGTCTATTTGTGCAAAAACGACATTCTAATGAGAATATAGTAAATTTTCACCTTCAGCTATTTCGTTCAGAGAAGATGGGTTACTTTTTTCATACTACTTTTTTTTTGCCTTCCCTCTCCAATAAAGCACACGAGAACTGTACAACAGCGACGCCTGAAAGCACTTCTTACAGAAAGCGTTGTACAATAATTTCTATGCACCTTAAAATTCCAGCAGCCAGCAGAGATACACGTATGATATTCTGCCTGCCCTATGGTTAGCAGACAAAATGGTTACCAAGAAGATCTGTGGCGCTGGAGTTGGGAACAACCACACTTTCAGTGACACCGAAAGTCATCACAGGTTGCAGAATAAACTTGACCTTATTAGCCTCCATCTCACGTTCCTATGTCTGAAAGGAATTACATCAAATAGAAAACTTAGACAGAAACCTTTGTTTCCATGTTCAATTTTCTGATATTACAAGGTTTTTTTTTTTTGAGTCCCACGAGTAAAGCTCCTGATCCTATGACTGAAAGTCTATGAATAAATCCCTTCTGAATTTTGCCAGAGTACTTGGGAAAGTTCCTGGAAAATTCAATTGAAATCTTAAATTTAAGTATCAGGCTATAACCAACAATGTTTTCAATAACTGGAAAACCACTTTCACTCAAAAATGAGATTTCCTTAAGACAATTACTGCATGAACATGAGCTATTTCCATATACCTGGATATGTACAATCCTCATACCTGAGGCTGTAACAACTCTTACAAGCATCACGAGGTATAAAAGATAAAAATTCTGCCTGAAGAAATTAAAAAACCAAAACAAACATCACCACTAAAGAAACTTACCTTGCTTTTAGTAGAAGAACGAGTTTTTATCTTATCAGATTTGTCAGTTTCTGCTATTATATATGAAGAAAATAAGAATATTGATTCAGTTTCAATATAAAAAGTTAATCACATTTTTTGAGGAAATTATCCACATAATTTCTAACACTATTCACAGCGTGTTTAGTCATCTTAGCCTTGAGGACTATCAAACATGGCAAGATAAAAAAAAAAAACTTAACTTGCTTTACAAAGCAGAGGAAAAGAAAACTTGCGAGGATTTGGTAACAAAATAATTAGCACTTACACAGCTTTCACAGAGACACATACATACATGTGCACAATCCCCTTCCAATCTTTTCGTTGCTGTCTTGCTTGCTCTTTTAAAAACATCCACATTACAGTATCAGAATCCAGAGAATAAGCCAAATTACCTAAAGCAGGAAGTCTAATTAGATCAGCCTCTTTCACAGAAAAATACCACAAAGTCAAATAACATGGAGTTAACCTAAACAACAGGTAAATCTGTAGCTGCTCCAAAGACCTCCAGAAGAAAGCAAGAGCACTGAAATTTTATCACAATATACCCCCTGTATAAACACAAACAAACCCCCCCCGTGCCATCTCTCCATTTCCAGATACAGAAAGACACACTATTTAATAATAAAAAAACAAGTTGGGGTTACCTTCTGCATTTTCAACAGGTAAGAGATCTTCTGCAGCAACAGAAGCCTCCACGAACTCTTGAAGAGGCTCAACACTTTCCTTTAAACAAAAAAAGTTAATTTTTTTAGCAATATACTATACCAAGGTGAAAAACACCTTGTCCATTAGTGTTTGAAACAGCCAGGTAATTTTATTTATTTTTTTTTTCCTTAAAGAATACGGTAGCTCATTTTTCTATATATGGCAAAAAGAAATACAGTAGCAAAAGTATATAAATAAGCCAAGTGCTACCAGTACTCAACTTTAAACATAGCTCTACAGGCCAAAACACTATTTAGAATTCATAAAGCAAAAGAAAAAGTTGCCAGTGTCATCCGAAACCTTCAAGCAGACTCTGTTTTAATATTTTAGCCATTTCTTTTCAAAATGAAGCAGAAAAAATAAACAAAAATTGACCGTTCACAGAGACTAAGAGGGTGTTTTTACAGCTAAAACCAACAAAAAACCTTACATCACAGCAATCAAAGTTGGGCGGGGATAATGGTTCTGCAGTGAGACTGGAGCTCGCAGAAGGGCTATCACTTTGTAACCCTGGGTGACGGACTGGCATGGCTCCTTTGCGTACCGGAGTATTTGCAGGCAAAGCTTCGTCAAATATTTCTGGGCTTAGAACTTCTCCAAAGGTCACTCTTTTCTTCTTTGGCTTTCCAGAGCTACATCTTTCAGTTTCCTCTATTGTAATAACACACATAAGATTGCTTAGTGAATTTAAAACAGAATTTTCAGACAGCAGAGACTTTTCAAGGTCTTTCTATGGGTCTTAACATTCTCTTAAAAATCACCTCCCTCAAACAAACAGCAAAATACCACTTTACCTGCCCTGTGGGTTCAACCAGAATTTCCAGTATGGCTTTATTACAGTATCAAGAATTAAGGAAGAAAGAAAACAGAAGACTAAAAATGACTAGCTGTCCCACAAGTTCTAGTTGACAAGTGTAAAATTGCTTGAAAACCCAGTGATTCTGTTCTAGTATTAGAGGCTTTCTGAAGTTTCGGGGTGGGATTTTTTTAACAGCCATTATTTTCCTTGGCAACCTTATTTTCCACTTCGTGCAGCAGGATGCCACACATGAGCTACTTCAGTGCTGGTTAATGCATATCATTCTTCCGGTTTCCCAAAGAGACATAACCTTATGATCCCACATGATATTCTGCCCATTCAAAACCAAAAGGGGAATCTGACCTGTTTGCAGCGCTTCAAAGACTTTTGCACAGTCCGAGACTGTGAGAGAGTCACCTCCTCCTCTGTCAACAGCATCGCTCGAGCATTCCTGTCAAATTTAAGTGATTCAATCACCTGTTCAATACCATTGAATCAAAGTATTGTCCTTGTTCAAATCAACAGTGAAAATTACTTTTTCTGTAAGCAACATCAAATAACCAGTCCTATTGTTTAAAAAACCTACTTGTTTTCTAAACAAATAAAACTCAAGACCATGCATATGGATCTTCCCACAACATGAAAGCTTCAAACCAGGCTCCCAAGACGACCAGCCAGCAAACAGATACCCATTGATAGCATTATAGTATTTCTGATGCGTGTCAATTAGTCAGAAAGTATTGTTCACAATGATTCAACTTCTGCTCATCCAATAAGGACTGCAGAAGCTCATCCTTAGTATTAGTACCTCCATGTAAGTCAGGGAACCCACCTCCATGCCATCCATTTGTTGCTTCACTGGTGTTTTCTTCAAGGCAGATTGCAGACAGGAGCCACTCTGTGTGTGTTCACTCAGTGAAATATTTCCCATTCGTGGTGGTGTGGTAGGGGGCTCGCTTTCATCAAATATGTCCAAGCTTAGTTCTTCCCCAAAACTAACTTTCTTTCTGCTTAGATCTGACGTAACGTTACTTCTGACATCTTTAGTGAGATGGTCAGAACTGAAATCTTTGGAGAAATCAGACAGATCTGACAATTAAAGACTGAAGAAAAACTGTGAAGGCTTTATTTAGTATCCACTCGTTCCTAGTTTTCTGCCATTATTGTGCCACACTTACATTTTGAGAAACGTACAAAACATACCAAAGGGCACAGTGCTCGAAGACAAGCCATCCAGCTATTTCCTTCCTCTGCACTGTGCTTAAGTAAAAACTGTACTGAAGCAGCTGGGAATTCAGTTTTTAAACTGGGACTTGAGCCTCCTCTGCAGCAGCACTTGAACAGATCATTGTTTGCGAGTGCTTTTTTTTTTTTTGTTCCCCCAATGTCAAAGTTTTATCAATTTCTACTGCATTATAAATTGTAGACTAGACGACAGACATGGGATGACTGCTTGTGGAACGTTTCCTTACAAATACTCTAAGTATTTTTACTTTCTAACAAGAATATCACAAAGATTATAACAGTGGTGAATCCTCTTACCATGGCCTGTTCCTAAGATACCTCTCATTGGAACAGCCTCCGACGACTCAATAGGATTGTGCTGCTCATAAACCCACTCCTAGAGAAAAAGTTACAAGATGATATATATACATAGCATCTACTTATCTATATGTACACACCCACACAACACAATAAAGAAATAAAAAACTACTTGCAAGTGCTGCCTTTTAAAATAGCATGAACTCTTGAGTTTTTTAACCCCATACTCCAGGATTTCAGCGTTTTCTCAATCATCCACCACTTTAGTTGAATTTGTTTTCCCAAAACACCAAGGCTAAATGCTTAAAAAGACTAGACATCAGAAATGAAAAAAAGAGGGAACGAAAAACTTGTATTTTTTAATCACTAGTTTAGGAAGTTTCTTCCTAACCTCCATCTAACTGTTACACTGTCACAGCTGTTTTACAGCTCAGAAGCTGCTTGGTCCAGCAGCAGCACAGGACACACCTAGCAAAAGGGACCTCGTCTTCACTGGTTTTATACAGGACGCTAACAAACAGATCACTACAGATACTTAAATAGAAGATAAATTAACTTCTCCTTCTGTATACAAGTACATCCTCTTCTTTTGCATGGAATATCAGGTAACTGCCAAACAGATAGAAGGTGGAGATTAAAAATTGCATTTGAAGTCATCCCAATGCTCAACAAAGTTGGTTTTGACACCTGAGAAAAGCTGTACTTGCCAGATCTGTGAATCTGACATCTCAGATGGTTACAGCTGTGGATTAAGACATATCTAAATTTTATTAGCAGAATAAAACAAGCTTTTCCATGTGACCCTCAGAAGAGAGTATAATCTTATTGACCAGAACAGCTTATAGCATGGACACTGAACAGCTGCATGTAAAAGAAAACTGAGGGCAGCCCCAGAAGAGCCAGCAGCAGGTATCTGAGGTGAGGCTACACTCACTGTCAGTGCAAAGGGCTCTGTGCTCAGGCCAATTTTCCTTCCTTTGACTTGTCACAATAAGACATAAAATTCTTACACGGGAGAGCTGCTGAGCTACTCATTTTCCCCATGTTCTTTTCCTCACACTTATAGAAGTACCTTGGAAACAGCAGCAGCAGGTTCAGTGACAGTCACATCTCGGCATGAAGACAAGATGGTGCAGATCTTGGTATCAGACTTACTGCTGTTGGTCAAATTTTGTCTTAAATTTTCCTTCAAATCAGCTCCTCTGCTGTCTGATGTGAACTTTTCACTCCACTGATCCAGGTTCTTCTCTTTTGTAAGAAGTACTTTGCTCTGAGCTGCATCAATTGAAAACAAAAGAAAAACCAAACAACAAACCACAAAGACAAACTTCAGATTTTTCAATGAATGCTCTTTTTGTGTTTCTTCAGCAAGAGGAAGGCAAGATTCAAAGAGCTAGATAACTTTCCAGTCAGGAAGAAGAAAACACAAGCAATTTTTAGTTCTGCTTTGAAAATAACATTACCAAATCTTCAAAACAAAGCCAGTTATTCTTTTCATATACATTTGAGTAAGAACCACCAATACTCGGCAAGTAAAGCTTCATAGCTTGTTTTACACTATCATCTTCTCTCAGCCCGACTTGCTTTTGCAATCCTTACTATTTTCATTGAGAAATAAGGATGTTAAAAACACAGTAATGTAATGTGATTTCTAAAATTACCGCACTGAAGTTATTAACCAAAAGTCTGCACATCACAATCAAGAGATAAAAACAGTGATCATAAAAACCATTCTCAGCTTCATGGAAAAAGTGTGAAAATGCTAACGCTTAGAGAAAAGTAAATTAAAGGGAATAAATCTAGAAGTAAAACTAAGAAAACAGTCACAAAAACACTAGTTAATTTTTCTTAGGGGGTTATTCTGAGAAGCCACTACTCAGGATGCGCTAATAAGATAGTTTAAACAAACAAAACCACCTCAAACCAAACACAACGCCCCTGTGCCAATCCTTATAAAGGAAGATTTCTTTTGTTTTATAGTAAGTGCTGATGCTTTTTGGCCTAAAGCAAGACCTGACGTTTAAGATAAATCATTGACCAGAAATACAACCAACTTACAACAGCCTGCTTCCCGGGAAGCACCAGCCACTTGTGACAGTCCAGAGAAGTGAGTCTCCTCTTTAGCTTCTTGTACCGCATTAAAAGATGTTTCAAAGGCATTTATCTTGTCCTTCAACACTCTGACGTTTTCACGTTTAAAAGGACTAACCTGCTAAAACACAATTAACCTCATGAGACTTTGTTCCTCCCCCCCCCAAGATGACACGGGCTTTATTACTTTGTCTTTGTACTTTGGCATAAAACAAACTCAGAGAAGCAGCAAGTCTTGTATCCATGGCTGCAATTTTAATTATATAGTTAAAATATGCAAAAAAGGAACCATATCAAGAAATCTGAAGTTTCACTGCCTCTAAAACCCCCTTATTCTAAAGTAAGGTGTCCAAGGGAAGTCAACAAAGGCCATGGTTATTCCTTCTACTGTGTCCTTCCTGAGACTTGTCTTCTCCTTCCGACAGCATGTGTTGGCTCCTGAGGGGGAACTGAACTGACAGACACTTGAGAAAGACTCTCACCTGTATAAAACCTTCTTTTTGCCTGTTGCTCCTCTGTTGGGCAAGGTATTGAATAAGGGTGTTATTTTCTGGTGACCCCCGTACTCCAATTGTAGATCTTCGTCTAAATTTTAGTGAAGCTGGAGACTTCCCTGAAACAGGGACAGGAGGAAAGGGGAAAAAAATGAATTTCTTTCAAGTAAGAACATCTAAAGCTTTAAAACGGTAATTTTTTTCTTTTTGTTTTAAGCGTGATTTATGCTATTTATGAAAATACCCAAAGTTAGCAGCTCAGCTCAAGAAACCTTCCTGAGCAAAAGCAAATTAACTTCCTAAAAGCAAGTTAATATTTAACTAAACTATATACCAAGTGAGGAGCTGTCTGTCTTCTACGTTTTCCACTGCTAGTTAAGCAGATGCCTACCAATACTTGCAGGACTTGTCCTCTACTCCCTTGTGAAACTCACTGACACCCAATCAACTGCACAGCAGAGAGTTAAACAGGGAACATCGTATCACAGTCCTGTCCTTGGGCATAGTCAAGCTCAGCCAGACAGCCTGAAGTGGACCCAAATCAAAGCTTTTGATAAGCGCCTGGACAAGATGACCTCCAGATGTCCCTCTGAGAAGGGCAGCAGCCATTAGTCACACCAGACTTACCTATAGAGTGCCTAGTAAAATTTTCTTGAGTAATCCCAAATTCAGAAGCTGTTACAGTTGCAAAATCAATAGGTTTTTTCTTCTGTTTCTCTGATGTTCCACAATCAGATTTTTCTTCTGCTTTGTGCCTATTGGGGGTCAAATAGCATTCAGCCCCTAAAGAAACAGATTGACTTGAAAATTTTTCCTTGCTGTTCAAAGGCGAGGTAGGTTCACCAACCATATCCCCTTTCCATGTGTCAAAACAGCCTTCAGTGAACCGACAGCTAACAACATCCTCCTTGCTGCGGCACGATTCCTTCTTGAGGCCTTTGCTGTGTTTCAGGGCGCTTTTTTGCAACTGTGCCTGGTTCCCACCACTTAAATTCTCCTTCTTGGATGCCTTTACTTCTGATTTAGTCACTTTGCAAATCTTCTGGCCTTTTGACAGATCAGGGAAAACGGCCTCTTCCTTCTCTTCAGTGTATCTACTGTTGTTCTCTTTAACTTCCAGGGGAGCATTTATAGTCTTAGGTGATCTGTGCATTGTTAGTGATTTATTTTAAGAAACATTTAGTCAGTCTTTGCTCTTCTGTAATTAGACATACCTATCAAAAGAAAAAATTAATAGGTATTCGGTAAGAGCAGGAGTTCTCAAACTTCTACCAAATCTAGGTTTTTCCCAGGACAAGGTGTTTAAGAGCGTGCTGGAAAGGGAAAGTCACGTCTCCAGCAAGCTGCCCAGACAGGACCACAAGGCGAGCGCCACGAAGAGCAACGCACAGCAATACAAACCTGCAGCAGCCTTCCACGAGTGAGGAAACACAAGGTTATGCTTTCACTCCTCATCAAACTCCCACTCCATGCTGGTATAACAGATGTTAAGCACAATCACACGGTGATGGTTTGCTCCGTGTGCTGCAACACGTATTAGCAGTTTAATACCAACTGGGAAATTTAAGACGCTAACGTTTTTGTGTTTAGTTTCTTGGATTTTAAGTTAAGCATGTAGAATTCAACAATGTTAGTCTGAAACTTCGGTTGCACAAAATGTGAATTTTCCCCTACTTTGCGTAACACGAACGAAGCGGTTCAATATCCCGCGTGCTATTTCTTTTTTGCTGTTTTTCCCCAGTCCACACCGGCAGCCGTCACACAGACGTGACCGTGCGAGGGAGCGGTGTCCAACACCCCGCCCCAAGGGGCTCCCCATACGTGCCCCCCTCCCCCGGGCACCCCGATTCCCTCAGCACTCGCCCCCTCGCACCGCTCACCCCCGCCCCTCACTGTCCTTCTTCCCG